GGAGGAGGAGGAGGAGGAGGAGGAGGAGGAGTACGAGGAGCTGGAGGAGGAGGAGGAGGAGGAGGAGCTGGAGGAGGAGGAGGGGGAGGAGGAGGAGGAGGAGGAAGAGGAGTAGCAGCAGCAGCGGCAGCATAACCATTTCTTATTATGATGCCTCTGGCGAAGCGCCCGTTGGGCAATCGCAGGTCAGGGGAAGTCGAAGCCTCTGGGGTGCACAGGGCCCGTTCCCCTCAGAAACCCCGTTTCTTGCCACTGTGCCAAGGCGAGCGGGAGCCCTGCGGGCCCGACGCGATGCGGCGGGGGGCGTCGGACGGGGACCGCGCCTCGCCGCTGCACGTGGGCAAGCCGCCTGCTGCGCTGGTGTTGCCCCTCGCCAGCGCCACTACGCGTACCGAGACGATCAAGGACCTTGCAGGGGTCGACCTGAACGGTGTTTTGGCGATGTCGTGGACCGTTCTCGTGCCGATTCCGTTTTGCAGCAAAGGCAGACTGAAAACAATCCGATGGACAATTGAAGCACAACGAAAACGAAAAGCACATTGCTCAGGTCGATCCCTGGGACCTCGAGTAATGGAATCTGGCAGAAGCGCAAAACCTTTGGTCGCTCCGCGCGGATTTCCTGGACCTGCGCCGGGCCTCCCTTGGCGGCGCCTCCGCCCCTGGCGCGTTTGTCGCGCCAGGGAGGGGGACCCCAGCGCCGAGGGACAGACTCCGCGCGGAGCTCCGAAAGTTGATGTCTGTTGCCGCCGCTTTGTCCCCTCGAGGACTACATGCCCCTTGAGGAGCGCAACGCCGGCAGCGACCTGCCGCTGACTGCGCGCTCCACTGCCGTCAACACCTACACGGCGACCTACACGGCCACCGAGACGGTGGACGGCCACACGGCGACGTTCACCTACACAGCCACCTTCACGGCCACCGCCACGGCCACGGTGCTGAGCCACGCGCAGAGGGGGGTTAGGGGGAGGGGGGAGGGCTTCTTAGAAACACCCCTGCTTCTCAGAAGGCGCGGGCCTTCTCCGTACATGTAAGCCGGCGCCTTCTAAGAAGCAGCCCCCGTCTAAGAAGCCTTCCCCCCTCCCCCTACCCAGACCCCCGACGTCGTGAATTTTTCATTGCGTCGACCCCTTCCCGGGGACCGGGCTTGCATCCTCAGTCGTTTTTTGACGGTCTCGAGGGCCGGGAAGGGCCCCCGGAGGCCGAAAATAGGGAAGAACTTCCTGTCGTGTTTTTTTCAGTGCCCGAGGGGGTTTGGGTACCCTTCTCTGCGCGCCGCCAAGGTGCTCACCGAGGCCGCGCCGAACCGGAGGAGGGACCTCCTCGACCACCTGGCGGTCGAGACCGTCGAGCACCCGGCGTACCAGTGCGGCCGCGGGGTGCGCTCGTCCACGGGCTCCGCGCGAAGGTCTTCCCAGACATGATCGCGTCATTAAAATCAGGACGGCGGGTTTTCGGCCGTTTTTGGCCTCATGGGGCCCTCGCCGGGCCTCGGGACCGTCGAAAAACGACTCAGGATAAAAAGCCGGTCCCGGGGAAAGGGTACGGGACTTCCGGGGACGCTGTCCTGAAAAAATCCTGATGTCGCATGTCTGGGTTCGGAAAGGAACATATGTGCATGGACTTAAATTGAAGTCGGGCGTGTCCCTCTACAGGAGGAAAAATCCCCCCCCCCTAAAAAAAGCCTGGGGACATTTTTTCTACTATTCTTGCTTATTTTGGGCGTATGTTTGACTATTACTCATTTGTCGTCCAAAATCCGCCTGTCGGGGGACACGCCCGACCTAAACTTCGATGTTCGGAGCTCCACGCGGATCTCTTGGATCGACGCTGGGCGCCCCTGGCGGCGCCTCAGGCGCCGCTCCCTGGCGCGCTCCCGGCGCGCCAGGGATGAGGGGGGCCCAGCGCGGATCGGCAAGAGTCCGCGTGCAGCTCCAGAAGTCCTGGCCATGCCGCTCCTTCCTCTTCCTCCACAGGTCCTCCTGCTCGTCCCTGGAGTCCTCCGGCTCCAGCCTCGATGCGGGCGGCAGCGTCGGCCAGCTCAACTCCTGCTCCACGGCCGCCAGCGACGAGGGGCGCGCAGAGAGCAGGCCGAGGGGGCCGAGGACCTGCAGATGCACAGTGCCACCGGCGCTGGCGATGCCCCTCCTGGGGCCCAGAAGCGGCGTACCCACCCCCTGACTGGGCCCTGGAGGCACATGCCCGGGCCCCCTCGGCCTCAGGAAAAGCCGGCCTCAGGGAAGGGGTCCAGACCTCTGGGGGTCCACGTAGTGAAAAAGTCGTGACGTCGGGGGTCTGGGTACGGTTGGGGCGTTCATGAAGGACTGTGCCCAGGCGGCTCCAGATCTTGCAGGATTCCACGTCCACTGTGGGCGGCGGTAATACCCATGGCCACTTCACGATTGGAGCTCTTCCAGCTTGCAGACCCTGGATTCCTCACCCCATGGTGCCTTAATTGCACAGTGCCCTCAACATGCCTCCGCCGAGGAGGCCCGCGAGAGAGGCCGCCCTGGTGTGGCCGAGAGAGCGGCGAGGGCCGCTCAGCGCCAGGCGGTCGACCCCTGGCCCGCGGGGCTGAGCTGGGGCCGAAGCTATGCGCGCTGGCCACCTGTGGGGCCCTCCTGGGCGCCTTCGCTCCTGGGCCCAGGATGGGCCTGGCCAGCGACGGTGGACCTCTGGACAGACCTCGCCGCCCTTCGCAGGCTGAGGAGGAAACACTACCAGCACGCGGGCAAGCACGGCTCCGACCTCCGGCTGGACCACATCATCCAGGTGTGCAGCGCCGTGTCCACGAACTGCCACCTGATGCCGCGGACGCCGAAGGCGCCCGCGCACGACGAGCCGGGCTTCGGCGGCGAGGTCGCGCTCGCCTCGAGCCCTCGACCTGCACCCTCCGCGCGGCCTGCGCCCTCCGCGCGGCGGGCGCCGCGCTGCGCAGGCTGTGCCGGTGCGTGTCGCGCGGAGGGCGCGGAAGGCGCAGGCCGAGGGACGCCGGGCACCCTCGAGGCGGCCCTGGAGCGCACCGGCGCCGGCGAGCCCGAGCCCCCGAGCAGGCCGCGCAGGCCGGCCGCGCGCGCGTGCGTGACCCTGCGCCGGAGGGGCCCTCGCGGTGCGGGCCCGCGCCCCCCCCAGCGGGGGCGGATCCCAGACCCCCTCGCGCTGTACAATCACGACAGGATTTATCCACATCCACCGCCTGGGGAATCGATCCTCGCGGACCTCCACAGGCGGTGGATATGGATATATTCGGGCCCTCGGGGGCCAACGTATATCCATATCCACCGCCCGCTGGGGCACCAGGACGTCGGTCCCCAGGCGGTGGATATGGATCAATCCCTGCCTCGCACTTTCGGCCTCCGGGGGCCCCTATGGGGCCTCGGGGCCGTCCACAAAAACGACTCGGGATGAAGAACTGGTCCCCGGGAGGGGGCCGAGGCCTCTGCAGGGGCCGACGCTGCGAAAAAGGCCCGACGTCCAGTGTCTGGGATATAGACCCACGCATAGCCCTGAGATCCGGGCGCTCCACCATTTTCGCACCGGGCGACGTCGCCCGGATCGACCACGGCTCGACACATGCAGCATAAAAATAGGAATTCCGGTCTTGATTTATCGCGATGTTGCATGTGTTTCGCAGCATCGGATCTCGGGGCCGGCAGCTGCAACGATGGCGGATCGCCCAGTGAGCACTACACGGTGCATCCAATGGCTCCAACCGTCCACGCCTTCGGCGTGGCTCCCCGGCGAACCCGCCCCGGGGCTATATCCACCCCTTCTGCCTCCGCCGAATCGTGCTGGCCTGCGCGCTTTGATGTGGCACTTTGCAGCCACCCTGGGACCACCTTGGGGTCGCCTCCAGGACCACTCTTGGGCCGCTTCGGGGCCGCCCTTGGGGGCCAGTTTGCGGCCACCCTGGGGCCACTTTGGCTCCGCCTTGAGGCCACCTTGGGGGGGTTTGGGTTGCCTCGGGGCCACCTCGAGGCCGCCTCGGGTCCACTCTGGGGCGACCCTGGGGCCACCTCGGGGCCGCTCTGGGGCGAGGGCGGGGCCCCCGGAAGCTGCGCACCCGAGGCCCCTCCTGCCCAGGGGCCACTCCTGCGCCGGGCCGGGCAGGAAGCACTACAAGGGCGGCGCCGCCGGCCTCGGGGTGGCCGACATCGTGGAGGCGTGCGAGGGCGCCTCCGCGAACCGCGCCCTGTCGCCGCCCAACTCTCCCGAGGCCCTTGCGGCGCGCAGGTAGGGCGGCGGCGGCGGCGACGACGACGACGTCGCCGACGTCGGCGTCGACGTCCTCGCTCTGATGTGTTTTGGCTGTTGTTGTCTTGCGTTCTGGGAGGTTGTCGTCTCGCGTTTCTGGAGGCTCGCCGCCCCAGGTCTCCGTCGGTATGATTTTTCCCACCGGCTGTTTCTGTCATCGCTTTCGGCCTTACGCCTACCCTGGGGGAAGCGGTCGGGGCCGCAGAGGGCCGCGGAGGGAGCGCAACAAACAGACCGGCGGATGTCAGGGGCCACGACGGGGCCCGGCCGGGGAACCTGGCCGGGACAGGGGTGTGGGGGGTCGCGGATCGCCCAGGGGGGCTCCGGGACTGGCCGATTCGCCCAGGGGAGCGTCGGTCAGACTGGTCGAGTCGCCCAGGGGTGTCTCGGCTGGTCATCGGGCGGTCGAATCGCCCAGGGGGGTCTCGGCCGCTGATTCCCGTTCGAGTCGCCCAGGAGGGTCTCGTGCGGGAACAGCCCCGGTGAAGACCGGGAGGGGTCCGGCGCTCCGGAGGCCTGGATTTCGGCCGCGTTCGCAGGGCAGCCCCCCACTTGCCTGGCGGATGGTCGCTCGCTCCGTGGTTTCTTCCGAGCCGCACCGCGATCGTCGTCCGAGGGGGGCCGTTCCCCCCACAGCCAAGCAAGTCTTGAGCGGCTTCTCGGAGGCGGTGGCGGCCCTGCGGGGAGGCAGCAGGGGCTCATGGATCAGATGCCCTCCCGCATTTTTGGAGCCCCGACCAGTAGGCTTTGACACAGGGCGTCTCGATTGTTTGTCAACCCTCGACCCGCACCTTTCGCGAAGGAAGTTTTCCCCCAAATCCCCGATCGGGGTCGCGCTGGGCTCACTTTAGTGACAGTGTGATTGGGTTCACGGCGCCAGCTGACGCTTGAGAGGTTGCTGTGGGGATGGCCCTGGGCCCTTCTGATAGGCCCCCCTGCCTTCAAAGGCCCCTAGGATCCGACGTCGTCGAAATAATTCAACATCGCGGAAAATCACGACCCCAGCCCAAGACCCCATTCTTCTGCTGCGTGTGTCGAGCCGGATGGATCTGCGATGGTCGGGGGCGTGGAAAGCGGCGAAGACGCCCAGTGTGAACAAATGGGAAACGCCCGTATCTCAGGTGCGAGGAGAAGACTTGTCCATATCCACCGCCTGGGAGCCGACGTCCTGTGGGCCCAGCGGGCGGTGGATGTGGATATATAGTCTGGCCCCAGGGGGCGATACATATACATACACATATGTATATATATATAATATATATTATATATATATATATATATACATACCCTCGGTCCAGGGCGTGGGGCCCTAAGGGCAACCTCCAGGCCTCCACGCTGGTGGCAGGGATTTTCTGGCCTTCGATGACGGGCCAGGAAGCCCCCCCCAACCCCCACGACGGTCCAACAAGGATCCGACAAGGATCTGAGTCACCGAAACCGCTCCAAGACGCGCAAGATGGCCCCAAGACGCGCCACGCTGTTTTCAGGCCCTCTGGAGCCATCTTGGTCCTTCAGGGCACTCTTGGGTGCCTCTTGGGGCTGTTCATGTGCGGTCTTGGGGCCCAGTTGGGCTGTCTTGGGGCCCTCGGGCCGCCTGGAGTCCCTCCAGGCGCCCTCTTGGAGCGTCTTGGGGCCGTCTTAGAAACCTGTTGGTCCGTCCTGGGCTCGTCTTAGGGCCCTCTGGGGCCATCTTGGAGCGATCTTGGGGGTCCCTCCGGCCGACTCGGGCGCTCTGGAGACCGAGAAGCCGAGTATACAAAACTTGCACCGAAACCTAAGGAACACCTATGCTATTTTTGCCTCCTGGGGGCCTCTTGGGAGTCGAATTCGGGCCCCCTTGGGCCATCTGGTGGTATGGTACCGTTGGGTCGTCGAGTGCCCATCTTGGGCCATGGGCGCTCGTTGGGCCCTCCTGAGGCCTCATGGGGCCCTCTGGGGCCGTCTTGGGGCCTTCTGGGGCTGTCTCGGGGCCATGCCTTGTGCCCTCCTGGGGCGCTCCAGACACAGGCTCCCCAGCCGGGCCTGGAGTTGTACCAGGTGAGTTTTCTGTGCGTATAGGTACTCATTGTATTAGTACGACTACACACACACACTCGCGCACACGCACACGCACACGCACTCGCACACGCACACACACAAATACACACACTGACACTGACTCTGACACTGACACTGACACTGACACTGACACTGACACTGACACTGACACTGACACTGACACTGACACTTACGCGCACACTTACACTTACATTTACACTTACATTTACACTTACACTTACACTTACACCTACGCTTGCACTTGCACTTGCACTTGCACTTGCACTTGCACTTACACTTACACTTGCACTTGCACTTGCGCTTGCACTTGCACTTGCACCTACATTTACACTTACACTTACACTTACACTTACACTTACACTTACACTTACACTTACACTTACACTTACACTTACACTTACACTTACACTTACACTTACACTCACACACAAACACACACACAAGCACACACACAAACACACACAAACACAAACACACAAACACACACAAACCCACACACAAACACACACACACACCAACACACACCAACACACACCAGCACACACCAACACACACACAAACACACAAACACACACACACAAACACGCACAAACACACGCACACACACACACACGCACGCTCGCTCGCACGCACGCACGCACGCACGCACGCACGCACGCGCGCACACACACACACGCACGCACGCACGCACGCGCGCACACACTCACACACACACACGCACGCGCGCACACACACACACACACACACATTCACACACACAAACACACAAACACACGGCACACAAACACACACACACACCCACACGCTCACACACATGCATACATATATACATATATATGTATATGTTTGTATGTATGTATGTATGTATGTATGTATATATATATATATATATATCAGAGTGAGGGGGCCGAACGGTCATTCATTGTCCCTGGGTGCGTGGCTGAAGTGAGATTCCGCGGTGCGGATTCGTGTTGTTGTTGTTTGTTGTTGTTGTTGTTGTTGTTGTTGTCGTTGAACATTATTTCTTCTAAAGAATAATTATTGTTGGGACCCCTGGTGCGCGCCCCCCCCGCCGCGCCTAGGCCGCAGCCACATTTTCATCATTTTCGTGAGGAAGTCTCAGGCAAAACGTGGGTGTCCGGATCCGGTTGTTTTGTTGACGCCCGCTTTCCCTTGCAAAAAACACTATAAAATGAAGTTTCTTGTTCTAACATAACTAAACTTCAAGAATCCTTTGCAACAAATGACACGAAGTGCAGCCTCGCGCGCGCAAGATGAAATCCTTCCAAAACCTTAGTTTTCGTAGCGATTTTAACATAAAAACATGGAAAACCCAATGTTTTTCAAAACAAAAAGTTTCAAACATTCATCCCGCGCGCTCTTGCGGATTTCTGAGGAAACGCAATATTTTTTCAACATTTCTGTCAAACGGGCTCTTGCGAGCAACTTTTTCACGTGCTTCGAACTTCTGCAACAACGGTTGCGCGCATGCCAGGGCCACCATCCCTGTCAAATAATATCATATTGGACACATTCGTTTTTTCTTCGCGCGCGCACGCCGAAATCTTCCAATACCATTGGGTTTCTTAAGAAATTCAGCACCGCGTATCATAACATCGCACGAATCGCACCGTAGGTCCTCGAAAAACACGTGCACGGATTTTCCAAATTTCTACCCGCGCGCGCTGTCCGAATCCTTAAAAACAAATGGTTTTTCAACATTTGTGTTACATGAGCTCGCGCGAGCTACTTTCGCATTCAACGGCGTCCGCGCGCCTGCCAGGGGCTACAATCCCTTGCAAAAAATACCATGCGGGACACATGCGCGCGTCGTCGCGTCGTCGTCGTCGTCGTCGTCGGCATGTTACCACAACAAGTCCGTGCGTCACCACGTCATCGAACAAAATCACCGATCACTGTCACATCCGTAGCCATCTCGGATCCAGGTATCGCCTGTGTTCTTGGATGGGTCATGGCTTTGTCGGCGAAAGCCCTTGACGACCAGTATGGCCCAGAGCTGTCGCGGCCTCCCTTGGCTGACTGCGGCAGCCCGTATCATTTGCATCAGGCGCTCGTTGCAAAGGGTATCCAGGCCAGTCACCAGGCGTGCAAGACTTGGTGGGGCAAGTATCAGGACCTCCAACCAGAGAGAGGTAGCCACGTGTATTTCGTAGACGAATGAGCCAGTATTGCACATTGAGGCCGGAACGACAACCACAGAACAAGAATGAACATATAACAACAACGGAAACAAGTCCTGTGGTATGCTGGCGCCACGCACGTGGTACCACTCAAAATAATCTTTGCTTGTGTGGTACGGAAACGGAAAAACGTCGGAAAACGGTACAGGTGTCCAGTGTTGGAACAGGGGGATAAGTCGTATACTAAGCTAGCTTCCACACAATGTTACCACAACAAGTCATTGTACCCATGCGCCAGTGTAGTAGCCAAGGTCGTCCGCAGGCCACGAAGTGAAGTGTCCGAACGTCATAGGGCGGGAAGCTGGGTGTGGGTGGTGGCGAAGAGTCGTTTGGAAATTTGGTAGAGCTTGAACCGGCCCCCCCACAAAGTGGGGGTATTGCCCGCCTCCTATGAAAACCCTGGCACTGGTGAGAACGGAGTGTCCCCAGTCTAGTGATTGTTGTTGTTGTTGTTGTTGTTGTTGTTGTTGTTGTTGTTGTTGTTGTTGTTGTTGTTGTTGTCGTCGTCCCACCCGCAACCCGCCCCGCGACCCACCCGCGACCCACCCCGCGACCCACCCGCGACCCACCCGCGACCCACCCGCGACCCACCCGCGACCCACCCCGCGACCCACCCCGCGACCCACCCCGCGACCCACCCTGCGACCCACCCTGCGACCCACCCGCGACCCACCCGCGACCCACCCCGCGCGACCCACCCCGCGGCCCACCCCGCGACCCACCCGCGACCCACCCGCGACCCACCCCGCGACCCGCCCGCGGCCCACCCCGCGACCCACCCGCGACCCGCCCGCGACCCACCCGCGACCCACCCGCGACCCACCCACGCGACCCACCCGCGACCCACCTTCGACCCAAACCACGTTCAAGGTACAAACCAACATTTTCGGCGCCTGCGGCGGGCTTTTTTTGCATTCCTTCCAGGTGGAGAGCCCGCGACCCACCCCGCGATCAACTCGCGACCAACCCGCGACCCAAACCACGTTCAGGGTACAAACCACATTTTTCGGCGCCTGCGGCGGGCATCTTTTGAATCGTTCTAGGTGGAGAGACCGCGGCCCACCCGCGACCACGTTCAGGGTACAAACCAATTTTTTCGGCGCCTGCGGCGGGCTGCTTTTGGAGGAGGGGGAGGAGGAGGGGGAGGAGGAGGAGGAAGAGCAGCAGGAGGAGGAGGTGGAAGAAGCGGAGGAGGAGGAGGAGGACGAGGTGGAAGAGGACGACGATGACGATGAGAACGAGGACGAGGACGAGGAAGAGGAGGAGGAGTAGGAGGAGTAGGAGACGGAGGAGGAGGAGGAGGAGGAGGAGGAGGAGAAGGAGGAGGAGGAGGAGGAGAGCGCCATCGACAAGGAAGGTGGGGGCCACGAGGTCCGCCGGCTTGACGACGCCCGCGTCGCCCGCGCCCGCCCCCTCACTCTTATCCGCAATTGCGGGGTGCTATATATATATATATGTATATATAATATATATATATATATATATATGTCCACATCCAACCCTCGTGGAGCTCCGCGAACTCGATCCTCCAGGCGGTGGTTTTGTTCCGTTTGACCGTGGTACCAGATCGAGGTCGGTTCGGGGAGGGTGCCCTAATGTTTTGTGCGCTTGTCGGATGCTCTTGTGCGTCCCAGAGAAGGGCACACCCTCGAGTGTTACTCCGCTTGGCGGGCGGAGGGCCTCGTGTTTTTGAAAGCTGCTCTTCTGTCCTGGGTCTGGCCGTATACCCAGACCCCCGACGTCGTGATTTTCACAACGTCGATCCCGAGAGGTCTGGACCCCTTCCTCGGGACCCCGGAGGCCGAGAATCGCGAACAACCTCCCGTCCTGCTTTTTTCGTTGCCCGAGGGGATCTGGGCACATCCCCGCCTCGAATTCCTCCTCCTCCTCCTCCTCCTCCTCCTCCGCCTCCTCCTCCTCCTCCTCCTCCTCCCCCTCCGCCTCCTCCTCATCCCCCCCCCCTCGCTGGCCGCCGAGGCCCCGTCTCGGGGGCGGCCGCCCGCGCCCCGCCCCCCAGCGGAGGCCCGCTCGCAAAGAGCGAGCCCACGCGGGCCCCTCCCGGGGCCCGTCCTGGCGCTCATGAGCCTCTCGCGGGCCCCCAGACGGTGTGGTGACCACACCGTGTGGTGAGCCGGTGGGGATTCGGGGTCAGCGCACGGTCTTGGGACTCGGGTCGTTCTCCGAGGACGTCTCGGGCGACGGGGGCCTCCGGCTGGGTCCCCAAACCGTGCGTGGACGGACCGTGCGGCGAGGCCTTGGGCTTGGCATCGCTCGGACGTGTGCATTTTTTCTTCGGCGAGGACCATCGAGGAGCATCCTTGATCATCGGGCGAAAAAACCACGCACGAAACCGAAAAAAAAACAC